ACAATGAGCCCAAACACACATCAAAGTGGTGAAGAAATGGTTCCATCAGGCTGGAATGAAGGTTCTAGACTGGTCTCCCCAAAGTCCTGACTGGAACCATCCAGAACCTGTGGACTGGACCACCACTATCGCTCAACCGGTTGAGCTGGTGACCCACGTATAGGGGCAGTAGTCCCCAACGCAGCGGCCATGGGTTCGAATCCCGCTCATGGCCCTTTGCTGCAAGTCTTCCCCCATTCTTCTCCTCCACTTTCCTGTCTCTCTCAACTGTCCTATACGATAAAGCCCAAAAAATTAAAAAAAGAACCTGTGGACTGATGAAGAAACAAGTCTGAGTCAGAAAGACGACAAGTTTAGTTGAACTGCAGCGATTCTGTCCAGAGGAGTCAAAGATGAACCAGAAGCTGGTGAACGGAAACCAGAAGAACCAAGTTGAAGTGAAAAGAGATTTAACCCAATATTATCATTGCTGTATGTATAGTTTTGACCCAACAGACTTTGTCATATTCCCAGAAGACCTTTAATAAAGCTATGAAAGAACCAAAAACATGATTGTGTTTGTGACGAAGGTTCATGTGTTTCAGTGACCCTATGATAAGAAAATGAAGAGTTATAGAGTCATTGGAAACCCAAGTCTGTCATGGTGGACATGGTCTTTACAGGTAGATGTAAACTTTTGATCGAGAACAGTTTACTCTGACATCAGACACTGAAATTAAGCAAAAACTTAACAGCTAATCCGACCTCCTGGTTCAGTCGACCCGGTCGCTCACCTCTCCTTCTGTCGACGGCTCGATGTCAGAATATCGCGACTCGCAGATGACGTCGTTGATGGTGCGTAGATGACCCTGAGAGACTCCGGGGAAGGAGGCGGCACAGTCGTGGGCGAAGTATCGATAAGTCTGCCAGCTGCGACCGAAGTCTGCCGAGCGTTCGATCAGCATGGCGGCCGGACGGAAAGTCTGCAAGAGAGGAAACATCGTCAGCTCTTCGTTAAGCAGTTGGAGCTGTAAAGTCGTTAAGTTAATGAGACTAGAAACGCTTCTGTCTCACCTTGAACGTCATAATCAGGTGAGTAAAGTGGAACTCTGCCTCCAGATCCAGCTGGATGAAAACATCTGACTTTCCTGGAGAGAGACGGAGATTTAAATTCACATGAAGTTTGCAGCTAGTTTGCATTAGAAATTCATTGCCCCTCCATTACTGTGTGACAGATGAGTGACAGAGTAATGGCCGGTGGCAGTAAGCGAAGCAGCAACCAGGATTCTGGCTCCCGGACAGGAAATCCACTCAGTCTTGGCAGTTGTGTGCTGTGAATGTTCGACAAGGAGCAGGAAGGAAAAAGTTGTAAAAGACTGAAGGGGAAGGGTGTGACCCGGCCAGAGGAGGGAAATAAAGGGACGAGGACAGAAAAAGGAGTGTGACGGCTCGCTAACAGAGCAGCTCATAGCGACTAAAATACAACAGAACAGACACCTGTTGAGTCACAGTGGCCCTCTGATGTCTGCATGTGTGCATGAAATCCCCGGAAAATTAACGAGCGAACACAATCAACGCACTGTGGTCCGTGATGAAGCGGGCCCACTGTGCACCCAACAAATGCAGCTACTGGGAATAAAAATAGTCACGATGCTTCCTGTCCCCCTTCTTCTTCTTCTTCTTCTTCTTCTGCTGCTGCTGCTGCTGTTCCTCTCTGGTCTATTCTGGGTCCAAGCAGAGCTGCTCGGTGTCGTCATCCTCAGCTCAAACGGGCCTTGTGTCCAGCTCACGCACAAACGATCTGCCTAAAAATAAGTTCAAACCCGTCCTGCACCGATTATTCCACCAACTCCTCTTATTTTTATCTTTCCGTCGGGGCTTTGACTTTCCCTCCTCTCCGCAGCTCGTCCCGCTCTGTCATTAAGTCCATCTGTCGGTCGCGGCTTGTCATCCTGGAAACTTAATCCTGCTTTTAAAAACCTTCACAGTGGCTCGTGGTTTTTAATAAACGTTCAGGATCTTTTGCCCTTTTCCAACTTTTTACCCGCATGTTTCCAGAGAAGAACCTCAAAGAAACTACTTCAACTAATTTGCAGACATGCCAATAATCGCTGACATCATATTGTTGGCTTGTTTGTTTAATTTCATTGCAGAATCTATAATTATCATTAATCAAATATGCACGGCTTTGCATTAAGACGACTCAGCCTCCAGCCTTAACCGTCTGAAACCTTCCTGCAGCTTTGAAAGACAAGTTATTTTGACGTAATCGCACCATTTATCTCAGCTAGAAACTGTAAAAACAAACATCAGCTTTTGGGCTTTCCCATGGTCCTTGAACTACTCATCTGTGGCCTGGAGTTTGGCTGGAAAACAAGCTAAAGCTTAAAGTTGTCATATTTCACCAAAATATCGACGCTTCTGGTTTGAAATATGTTAAAGATAAATCGCTTAAAGTTACCAAAACGGAACAAAAGATTGGGATTTTTCAGCTGAACTGCAGGCGGTGTGCACACAGAGCAGCACAGAGGGTCGTATGGAAACTAATCAAAAATCTAAGAAGTAAAACATCTAAACATGGAGACACTATTATTCACAGTATTGGAAAAATCTACCCAATGATTGCAGGTTTGTTCCATTTATGGAAAACAAATAATGACACAGATTTCAGCTTCGGTGTCTCGGTCTCTCTCCTTCTTCATTCTGTTTCCACAGAGCTGCAGGACTTCATGTTGCAGTGAAAAATGAAACCCACAGTGATGAAAACACGCCCTGCTGTAGATTACTTTAGCGTGTTAGCGTCCTCATTTAGCAAATCAGCACCAGCGCTTTGCAGGGTTTTGGTCAGAAACCAAAGTACAGAGTGAAAAAATCATAAACTTTGTGGGTTCTTGGGTTACACGTCTGTCACAGAAATCCACCCTGGAGATATTTGACACAAAAAACTGTAGGCCTCGCTGTGATGGTGAACGAGGGTTCAGGAGATCACTGAAGCCAGCAGGTCACAGCCTCTGGGAACCATGAACCAAACCGTCCAAACAATGCCGACACATTTCACTACATGTCAGAAACCTGCTGCTGGGTCCAGAGGTGAAGCAGCAAATCTCCAAAGTCTGTTCTAATCTAGTCTGTGGACGTTAAATTTAAATGGTGCTGCATTTAAAAGTCGTCAAGATATTTCCGTCTCCACCAAAGCGATGGACCAACGCTGCCATCACCAGACTCACGCCATTTAAACCAGTTCACCCACTTAAACACATTCCGTCTTGAGAGAACAGATTTTGCAAAACGAAACAAACAACCTCTAACTTTGACTTATTGCGGTTTCACATTACTGGACTTGAAGGTGACGCCTGCTCACGTGAGAGAAACCCGACGGATTATCAGACAGATGCGACACTTTGAGGTGTTAATGCACGACGTTGCCGACGTGTCCTCACCGTTCTCCGACTGCCACCAGGACTTCTTGCGGTGCGGCTTGAAGGTGGTGATGACGTTCTCTATCCGGTGGTTGATGGTGTTGTAGACGGGGTCGTACGGCCGCCTGGAGTCACAGTCGAAGCACTTCTTCTCATCCTGTGGTGGGACGGAAAACAAAAACCCCCACAAGAGAACAAAGTAATAAATTAGTTAAATGACTAAATATCTGAGGACCAATCAGCTCTGATGTTATCTTCAGGCTGGGCGATACAGCTGAAATGTCTGTCATGATAGAAACCTTTTAAATAAAGGCCAGGATTAAAGCTGTATTTTGAATTTAGCCACTTTAGCCGGTTTACGTGTCGGTTGATGTGACTGAAACAACATCTGGACAAAGTGTTTTATTTCAGTCAGTATTGATAATTATTGACAAGATAAATTTTATCACTTCATTTAGAGCGTTACAACGTTTAAAGCGTATTTATATGCTTTTAATGTTGACACAGCGGTCAAAATCACACACAAATAAGTAAATACACACAAATAAATGAAGAGGTTAGCACCAAAGTGGGCCGAACCACATTTACTAGTGTTAGAGAAAAATGGAGTCAAAATTTTGTGTTGCTAAAAATCAAATCCTGGTTCCAACACTGTCCAGAGATTTAAAAAAAAACAAAAAAAAAACAGCTGCTCTGTGATGACTTATTTAAGTTTTAATTACCCTTTGCAGAGTGCCAAAGTGGGCCGTACCACATTTTCTACTTTTTGAGAAACAAACTGATCCAAGGTTTGTCTTTCTGAACAGCATCATCAGGAACTAGAGGTACTTCTGAGGACCATGAAGGTAGAAACAGATGCTCGGTGGTGGTTCATTAAGGTTTATTTTACCGTATCGTACCTACGAGTTGAGTTTTCATGAGGCTTGAGGTCGCGCTGTCCGCCATCTTGAATCGCAAACATGTTGGAACTACCTGCAATGTAACGGTCAGTGGTTCCTGTGGCTCGGTCCAGTTTGACACTAAATTTTCATGCCAGAATCATCATGGGCCAAACTTCAAAGTGACATTGCTAGTGGGCTGTTGGTTGGACCACTTTGCCATGAACTAGTAGACCATAAACACTCTGGCCCACTTTGGCACTGAACCCCTCGATTGTTCCAGGTATTAGTCAAACCCCACGGTGTTACCAGGGAAACCAAGCTGAGTCGTGTAAAAAGCATCAATGTTAGTTGAGTCGGTTGGTTATTGTTGTACTTTCCTCGACAATTTCACATCTATTACAAACTGAAACGTCCACAGAAATAAAACGCAACAAAGGTCAGCTTAACAAGATTCACCAACAGTTAATGTAATCCTGGTTTGGATGAAATGTTAACAGGATCAGAAAAGTATTAGTTCAGTTAAAAGTCAGGATTTTTCCATTATGGGCCAAACTGGGCCAAGTGGCATTGTGACATGACTAGTGGGCTGTTGGTTGGAGCACTTTGCCATGAACTATTCCACCATAAACAAAAAAATCTAAAACTCAACTTTGGATTTTCTTGTGGTTTGGCCCTCTTTGGCTCTGAACCCTTCAAATAACAATGAAATGAACAGCTGAGCTAATATACGGCTAACGATTCGATCAGAGGTTGGAGATTGTGGAAAAGTAGAAGACTGACAAGAGCTCTTCTTTGTGAATAATATTCTGGATTCAGTGCTGATTTGGGGAAACCAAACTACAACATGTTGGCTGTTATAGCTCCAGTTTTAAGGCTTATAAGTGGCTTTTTATGAGGCACGTTTGGAGATTGTTGACGCAACTGAACTTGCATTTAAGTGAAACTAAACACAATCGAACACAGTTTAAAATGATCAAATGGCACATGTCGCTGTCGTTTTACTACTCAGGCCTTCTGGAGAAAACAACGTTTTATTGCTGCACAAACAGAATCTTTCACATTTTATCTCACCAACCCCATTTCTTTTCATTTCCAAGAGTTTCCACACACCAACAGACTCTTAAGGCTCTGAGAGGCGACGGCAGACAGAAGTCATTTAAAAGTGTGGTTTCGCTTCACTATGCTGACAATGCTCGAAGCCACAAGCACAACAAGGCTTCTGCATGTAAGAGCGGAAAGATGATCGATCTGCGGAAACATCCAGTAATACGGCCGCAGAAAGGTAAAGTTTTCCACTGCAGAGCGTACACTTCATCTTGTCACTGTAGGAATGTGACGTATTCACACATGGAGGTAATAAATTATACAAACACTGGAGAATGATTAAAAGCAGCCATTAGTCAGCTGATTTCTTTAGTTGTGGCTGCGGTTATAAAGTAGATCCAATCCAGTCAGAGCATTATCACAAATTCAGTTTGAAAACAGCAAGAGCAGGAGGGATTTAATGGTCTGTTTTCTTTTATTTTCACTCTTTTTCTGACTGAATGTTGGTGTTGGCAGCGAAAAAAAGAGCTCAAAATGTGTTTTTCTTTCCTCCGCACAGTAATGATGCTGTCAGAGCAGAAATACTGCACTCAATAAAATATAAAGTAATGTTAATTCTGCTCTTAATTTGCTTTTTTTGTCTTAAAAAAAGAGCCAAAAGGACAGATAAGAGTCCTGGGCTGACAGGTCTGACTGATTATCACGGCCGATATCTGGCATTTTCCAGTTATCGGTAATGTTCTTTTTAATTGACCAATTATTGCTAAATAAATTAAACGCACTACTTTTTGGCTCTGATACGACCTCCTCTATCTGCATCTGGGCTCAGGAATGTTCTGCCTCCAGCTCTATCTGATTGGTTGCATGGCACAAGAAACAGCCAATCAGCACTGAAGGCTATTGTTTACACAGAGAGACAGACGAGCACATTTGCGTTTGGAAGGTGAGGAAGCAGAAACTATAATCAACACCACAATCTTCCACAAACATGCTCAGTTTATCTGTCACATGGTAAACGCCCCGTTAATTCACTTGTTGGTGTCATTGCTGCTGGAACTCATGTCGCTGACAGTGCTAGGCTAATGCTACGCTAAGAGGTTTGCTGAGCCTCTTATTATACAGCTATCTGAAGTACTGTCACATCTTTCTAAAATAAGAATAACTTCAACAATCTGCTTAAACTGAACTTGAGACTGAACAAATCATCTCCACAAATCAGGACATTGGCTACTTTCACAGTAGCTACGGCTACGCTAACGGCTAGCAACTAAGTTAGAAGGCCGCCATAGATTATCCTCAAACAGTGTCTGGAAAACAGTAACACATAAATGTTTAATATATAGAAGAAGAAGAAAGAAGGGAAGAACAACAGACGGAACTGTTGGAGACAAACTGATCAATTAATTGATCAGTAAACACAGGAGAGCCTCGTAGCATCACATCATCATTTCTGTTAATATTTGAGATTTTTAGTTATAATAAATATTATTAAGGAAGTAACCTGGTTATGAATGACAGATTTCCCTTCTGTTAATAAATAACTTGTAATGCATATAAACATCGGTTATCGGTCTTTATTGATCACCATTAAGTGATAGATAATGGCAGTACTGGTGAGAGTGGTAGTACCACAGTACCAAACAAAAACACAGGCTGACACACACGCTCTCACACTGACCTGCAAATGGCTGACGATGCAGTAGGGTTCTTTCCTTCTCATCCCACATGTGGACGAGGCCTTCAGGTTCTTCTCTCGTCCAACCAGCAGGTCTCCGGTTGCCGGGTAACAGCTGCCATGGGCACAGCCGTGGCTGTGGTCGGGCTCCTGGCCGACGACGGCAGCAGCCAGGACTGCAAGACGGAAACGCCAAATCAGTTACAGGGAACAGAAAGAAGCAGTGACAGCAGCGTCCTCATTCAACGGAGCAAGCATCCACAAAGTTGAGATGGAAAATAAAGACGACCTACTCCTCTGACAAAAACGTAAAAGCCAAAAGTTTAGATTTAAACGTCAGTAAATACGAGCCAGCTGTTGCCCACTTAAGCTTCAAAGAACAAAGAAATGACTTCAACCAACCGGGACTAAAAACCAATAAAAGTCCCGTTTGTGTCATCGGTTGGTTGTAATCATGCGGTGTTGTCCACAGTTTACAGCCCCAGAAACATTTGGTGCAATATTTTAAATATCATGTGTAACTTTTCATTTTGATAAGTAAAGAAATGTCATGTTATGTTATGTTATGTTATGTTGTGTTATGTTAAGCTAAGCTAGGCTAGGCTAAGCTAAGCTAGGCTAGTCTGTACTAAATAAGTTCCTTTTTTGTTAAATGAACTGAAATAATGATTTTTCCTTGTACAGCTGGCAATTATCAACTTAGCCAACTAGTTGTTTAGCTACAGATGCTTGTCAGTAATTAGCAAGTTAGCAAAGATGAAGTTACAAGAGAACTTTAGGGTAAAAGCCACTGTGTGTTTTAGTCGATAACAGCTAACAGAAAAGACATTACTGGATGGGGATAAAAAGATTTATGTTTTCTAAATCTATTTTCTGTGTGTTTTTCTTGTTTTTAGTGGTGTATTGTATTTATGCTTTATTGCTTTTCTACTTTTTATATATTTGAGTATATTTGATGATTGCAGATGGAATGACCTAATAGTGAACAATTTAATTTGAGAAAATACAAATCAGTTTGGTGTTCATCAAATACATTTTGATAAATAATGTCGTAATATGTTAAGTTAAGCTTGGCTAAGCTAGGCTAAGCTAAGCTAAGCTAGTATGTCTGGACTAAATAAGTTCCCTTTTGTTACATGAGCTGGAAAAATATTTTTTCCTTGTACAGGTAGTAATGTAACTGGTAATTTTCCAGTTAGCCAACTAGCTTGTTTCGCTACAGCTGCTTGTCAGTGGCTAGCTCATTAGCAAAGACGAATTTACAAATATAACTTCAGCGGAAAAGCCGCTAAAGTTCTAAATCCATTTTGTGTGTGTTTTCAGTCGTGTATTGCACTTGTATCTTATCGCTTTATTATCTTTAAGGCATCGCATTTATTTTCATTTTGATTTATTGAGCAATAACTTGCACAAGCATTTATTTCGTGATTAATTACGTTTTATCTTATCTTCTTTTCTACCAGCTTCTTGTGTGCGCTGAGGTTGTGGAGGGCCGACTATGTGGGTCACGGTGCTGAGGTTAATTCAAGCGATGCAGGTGAGCCGAGCCGACAGGAGGCCTCGGCTTCAGGCTAAATCTGGAAACAAACCGCCGCAGGTCAGGCTGAGGTCAGCAGAAGCGGCTGGAAGTATTAAATAATTTACGATTATTTAATAAGAGCTTAAGTCTTCTGTGGAGGTGCGACATAAACCGACAGAAACTGTTGTGTTTATTGCAGCAAGTGATGCAGCCCCGGAGCCTCGGCGTGACTGAGTAACTGAGCTATGTGTGGGAGTTAAAATAAACCTTATAAACCTTCATGACAACCAGCAGCAGCCGTCACACATTCCTCCGGACATCTCGCTGTGAACTCCTACATGCCTCTGGGATGTGTGTGTGTCTGCGGCTGGTTGTGCGTCTATATGTGTGTTGCCAGGAGGAAGCCGGTGTGAGGAGGAACTCAGGGGTCCTGCTGTCAATCTGTGGTCCGTCCACAACAGGTGTTTCTAATCCTGCCGCTATATGCGAACACTCAACACGGAAAAAATGTAAGTTAGGGCGCTGCGAAACTCTCCAACCCCGCGGATCAAATTCAGCAAGTTTACTTTTACATTCTCTACAATATGGAAACATCAGTGTTTTCAGCATCAGTCTGCTTCATATTCACACATTTAAAGAGTGAAAAACATGATCCTGAGCAAGAAATGAGCTTTTTAAAGTGTTTTATTCCAAAAAAAAAATCTATATTTATTAAAGAAATGATCATAAATGGGTCGTTTCATGTCAAACCATCAGAAGCTTTCTGTTGACCATCTCTGATGTGCTTGAAAAACATCAAAAATCAAAAACTAGGTATTTAAAACGGCACATGTGAACATTTTACATCAATATATCAAGTACTTCCCTGTATAAAATTTAAAATAAAGGCAAATCACAGACAGTCGAGCAGATTTCAGATGGAACAACCCAAACAAGAATAATTTAGTTTGAGCAAACGTAATCAAATTCACTTCAAGTTTTACTACTTTTTTCACTCCAGATTACCTCATTGGTCGAGAGATTATCTCCTTGCTCACTTTAGTCACGCTAAGCTAAGCTAAATTAAGTCAAGCTAAGCGAAGCTAAACTTCCTCTTGCTCATTTTAGTTACGCTATGCTAAGCTAAGCTAAATTAAGTAAGTCAAGCTAAGCTAAGCCAACCTTCCTCTTGCTCATTTTAGTTACGCTAAGCTAAGCTAAGCTAAATTAAGGAAGTCAAGCTAAGCTAAGCTTCTCCTTGCTCATTTTAGTTATGCTAAGCTAAGCTAAGCTAAATTAAGTTAAGTCAAGCTAAGCAAAGCTAAACTTTGTGTTCAATGAATTACATGAATATTTCTCTTTCCCTCGTATCTCAACTATCTTATGTAGCTACGGCTAATTTGTCAGAAGCTAGCTTTCTAGTAAAGATAAATTTACAAATAAACTTTAGAGGAAAAGTTATTTTGGATCATAGCAAACAGACAAGATCTTTATATAGATTTATATAGTAAGTCTATTTTTTGTTTGCTTTTCCTGTGTTCAAAGTGTCTCATCGCACTCTCAGGATTGAGGTACTAAGTTTGCAAATGATTTAGTTTGAATTATTTTACTTTCTGAGATATTATCGTATAACCTCGGTCTGCTTGTTTTACCATTCGTGCATTATTATTGGTAATTATCACCTAAATGGGCTGAAAAATGTAAAACGTTGTAGTCTTCAATAAAATGACAGCTCTGAAGCACCTGAAAGTCTCCTCAAATACTGAGACTTGCAAAGTTCAGAATAAAGAAAACCACATTTACTGTTTGTTATTTTAAGACAGCTGTTTTTCTGAACCACTGCTGCCATCTACACACTTGCTCTTCAGCACATCCTATAAATGGATGCTAAAGACATGTTAGCATCGTTAGCTTGCCTGCTTTAACGCAGCGCTAGCTCCTGCAGCAGATGCAGTCGATGCGTCTGCGCCGGCTGATTACAGGTGGACGGAGTCGGCGCTTTATCACGGCCAGACGCTGCTGCAGATACGTGGGCTGCTGGGAACGCTGCAGAGGAGGCTTTCACATGAACGCTGCAGGATTCCTGGGTTCTCCTGGCAGCCGGACAAGTCTCAGGTCGGTGCCAGCCAAGTGAGCAAACGCACAAGAGGCACAAGAGACAACAACACGCCTCCACATCCATCCACTCGGTCGTAATTACAGCATCACGGATTGGGCTGACGGTCCGTAAACACAGAACCTCGCAGTTCTCGAGTGAACGCAGGTGTCGAGCGTGTTCCCTGTGCCAGCGCTAAAGACGCCTATTAGAGGATTTGTTCTGGTGCGAGATAACAGAGCGAGCCGCCTGAAGTTTATCATTATCAGCTGAGACAACAGCCGACATCATGAGCCGCGATAAGAAACACAGATCCACAGTTGTTCCCCGGTTCTTTATCTGAGAAACAAACGGAACAGGCGACGTGATGGGTGGACAAGCAGAACGCTCCCCCCTCCCTCCAAAAACGTTCTGAGAAAGTTCTCCTAATGTTTTCAGCGGAAGGTTTTCTTTTAGTTGCCAGAACTAAAGATGTTCTAACAGTGTTTGGGGATAACATTTTTAGGCCGTTACGTGTTTCTTAAAACTGAGAAACGTTCTACCTTTTTCATCACCGTGGAACGTTGTGGGATAACATCTAGAAAACATTTTTTGAAAGTTTAATTTGAGAGCATCCTTCATTATCACGTTATATAAGACAATCTATAATGTGTTCCCTTAACAAACAGACTAAACGTTCTCCCTTTGTTATGACTGTGGAACATTGTGGGATCGTTTCATCTTTGTTAATATGTCACATTACAGGAACGTCTTACAGAGAACGTTCTGTCATCGGAGGCCTCGGTAACATCTGGAAAACATTTTTTGAAAATTGCTGTGAGAACGTTCCTCCCTAGTTATCATGGAACATTGTGAAAATGTTTTGTTTCTTTGTTACCACGTTAACGTCGTCCATGAGAACGACGACTGGATGTTCTACCTTTAATATATCACAATAGGAACGTTTTTTAAAACGAGGCCTCAATAACATCTAAAAAACATATTTTGAATGTTTAGTTTAGCGCATCCTTCATTATCACGTTACATAAGAACGTTCTGTAATGTGTTCCTAAATGTTCTCTCTTTAAGGTGGAACACTGTGGGATCGTTTCATAGATTCATATTAGTTCATTTATAAAGAACGTTCTGTCATCTGAGGCCTCAGTAACATCTGGAAAACATTTTTTTAATGTTTGTTTGAGAATGTTCCTACCTAGTTATCATGGAACATAGTGAGAATGTTTTATAGTAAAGCATTCCTTTGGTGTTCTAAGAATGTTCTGTAATATGCTCCCTCAACAAGACTAAATGTTCTGCCTTTAATGTATCACAACAAAGGAACGTTTATTTTCCTGTTTAGTTTAGAACATCTAATTTGACTGAAACGTTTTCTCTCAGACATTACTAGAACTCGTAGGTAACGTTCTCTAACGTCGTGGGAACGTTCCCTGACAGCTGGGTCGTCACGGTACAGATTCATTGCACAGACAAACACAAGAAGCATCCAGACGCAACTCGATCTCAGTCCTGTGAACTTCTGGCACGTTCTCAAAGGTTCCAGTGTCAGAACCTGAAGCAGAGACGTCTTTTATCTCCTCCTCAGA